TGATCTCGTTCTGTCTTTATAATACAGTAATATCAAACTCCATCAGAAGTCTGAGGTTCTCTTGTTTGGAGGAAAGAGCACGGATAAGTCTGCTATAATCTCTGCGCTCTGCTCTGCGAGGCTGAACACAGCTTTCCTTGTTGTTCCACCTATAAATAAAGTTTCAGTTTAAAATACCCAGAACCTACATAGACATAACACAACATGGCTATGGCTGCTGGTGAGGCTGTACATGCCATTTTTATCTGCTATGCTTGTCCATTAATGTGTCGATGCATGTTCGGACCACCCATGCTCTCTGCCTTCCTTCCCACATGTCTGGATTGTGCCCATCCAGAGTCCTAATTCAGTCCCATTGCAGGTGAGACGTTACAGGAAGCACCTGTGTGAAGAGCAGTGAATACCTTTTTGCTTGTGTCTCCATACTTATGCATCAGAAAATTCAATCAATAACCAATATTCTTCTAACACTGGTAGTGACACGTGCCAGCGCCTCTTAGCCAGTCAGAGCTATAATGCAAAACAAAGTGATCATCATGAAACGTATCCATTGGGTTCTCCCAGTCGCAGAACACTGTTCTTAGGATGCATTGTTTGTCTTCTTTTATTGCCATTTTGTGGCTAACAACCTTAAGTTGTTTTCTTTACTTGGTTGTAAGGTCTTTTGTGCAATTGTTTGCCAAACTTGGGATTCATTAAGTATAAGCCCAAGATAAGGGGAAAAAGTCAAATGCTGAAGTGAAACATTAAGGAAAAATCTTGAGTGTTTTGTGCAACTGGTTTTATTTTAAAGAAACCTAAAGTCTGACTTTAAGGAAAATCTCAACTCAACGTGACTTGTGCAACCAGCCCCTGGTCTTTATGAGCTGTTTGCTGGTTTTCATTCCAGCTGTGGTGATTATTAATTAGATTTAATCATCTTGCTATTGATTGACTTCTTTTCATTTTTGATGATCAGAACATCAACAGAACACTAAATGTAATGAGGCAAACAAGTCAACTAACCTCAAAAATATAGTGTCCCTCCCCAAATCATCAACCAGAACACAAAACGCAATCATGAGATTACCAGACACCAGTACATCTACCCTAACAACAGACAGCTTAGACAAACAGTGACTGTGATGAAGAGCTGGAATCCCAGAAAGCTTCAGAGCTACAGTGTTAAACTATTTTGAGTGTGAACCAGTCGCTACGTTTGAGGTGCTACTTAATTTAGGTGGCTTTGTCACCAGTGGCTTCATTCCATGATGACCTTTTGAGCTTTGTCTCTGTGTAACTCCTGTGGTCTGCCATTGGGCTCCCGTCAATTAATCATTTCCACAGTAATCTTGGACCCAAGCATTTTGTGGGTAAAAGCCAGCCTTGCGCAAGGTGTTGTGCAGAAAGGGGGTTTCCAGCTGGAATTGAATTTTGGGTATTGAGAAACAGAGCACTTATCTCAGCAAGCTCAAACAAATCAATAGAAAGCATGAACAATTTGGGAACATTCTGAAAAACAGCTTGGTTCCCAAAAAATCCGCTAAGTTTTGGAAGTCTGACCAGGCCATAACTGAAGGGAATGTAAATGTATCTACATATATATATATAGGAACCCACACTACAGGATAGCACAGAAAGAGGAGAACTTGTGACTGGACAAATGGGGACCGGGGTGCTGGGGGGCGGTGGGGCACGGGGTTGGTCAGTTTTCACACACCACTGAGGTACATGTGTGGCTCTGTGAGTTAGCAAAGAACAAACAAGAGGAAGTCACACTTTGCATGTTCAGCTTCATATTTATTACTTTTCAAACAACCCCACAGAGATGCGTTTTGGTGGAGTGCCTTCTTCATTGTGTCATTTACAGTGTGTGTATTTTTGGTGTAATGCCTTCTTCAGTGTGTTATTTATAGTGTGTGTATTTTTGGTGTAATGCCTTCTTCATTGTGTCATTTACAGTGTGTGTAT